GTAAGGTCAGAATCTGTGGCCAGTGTACCAGAGAGCCTTCTGAGTAATCCTGGGCTATAGTCATGTCCCCCTTTCCTGATTCCCTTTATATTTATTCCCCCAGTGTAATTTTTTTTTTTGGTAAATTTCTTACATGCACAACAGAGGGAAAGCTCCTTGAAGGCACAGACTGTTATTTGTTTTGCAGTATCCACACAATAGTCTGTTATGTTCTACACATATTAAAACCTCCATGAATGTTTATTGAATGACTAAAGTGCAAAATCTCACTAAATTCTGGGTAAAAAAATTTCATGAACCCCTGCAGCTACTACTTCCATTGCTTTTTTTTTTGTATTTATATAGCTTTTAGCCTTCTAATCATTTATTTGGATTATATATCAGTTTTGTAGGTGACCACCTCCCCACAACCCCACTCTTTGTTCTAAGTTGGCTGCGGCAGCTGAAGTCAAGAGCCACTGTGGAAAAGAAAAACACACAGAGAAGATGGTCATCCCCAATATACACATAGCCTTCTTGTTACTCACTGCACCCTCTGATAGGGAGTCCTCTCTCCTGCTCACATCACAGTTCCAGATACACAATCTGGGAGGGGGTGAGCCAGCTTCTTTGGAAGAGCATGTGCAGCTTTCTGGACATGGAGTTCGCCTCTTGGACTTCTGATTACCACAGGTTTTCATGCCCACTAGCTGCTGTCACCCTAGGTGACAAATTTAGCCTCATTGACTGTATATAATGAATGAAGAACATCCACCAGAATGTCCTACAGGTGTGGCATTTCCATCCAGGTGTCCCATTTGTATTTAAGATGGTTCTGGTTGAAGGCAAACATCTGTACTGACAGTGCAAACTTACAAGTAACAAAGTACATTAAGAGAGAGTGCAGAGAAATGTCATCAGTTCCCCGTTTAGTGCTTCTTCATACATAATGTTCAGTGTGAAATGTCAGCTTTGGCTTCTACAGGTTATGTGTGTGTGGATAATTTATGAAGTTATCTAGCTTATAAAGGAGAAATGGGTTCTGAAGGCGCTTCTGGTCTAAAATCATCTGGGTGATGACATTAACAGAGAGGAATAATGGAGGGGAGGGGAAGAGGGGAAGGGAAGAGAAGAGTTCAAAACTTTGCATATAAAATGAGGATCCTAGAAATGCTCTCATGCACGTTCCTCCTCCATGTGACTTTTAGGATCTTGAAGAATGTCTCTTACCCATTCCTCCCCATGCAGTAGGAGGTGGCTTCCAGTTCTTCCAGTTCTCTCTATTTGTATTTTGTTAATTAGGAACAACTTGTGACCCTGTGCGTCAGATATCAGTCCTGTGCCATTCTTCCTAAGCGGCAGGTTAAATGAAGCTGTTTGTGACTTTATGAACTTTAAAGGCACCCTTCTAACCAACTTTGCCCCAGTCTTTTCATTGTGTGGTCCACCTACCTGCTAGTTATTTTGCATAGTTCTCCATAAAATTTCAATTCATGTGTTCTTCCAATCATTCAACAATTGTTTTAAATTATATCTATTTTTTAAGTTCACTGTGTTGGGCAATGATGATGCAAAGGTGAACAAAATACATTCCCTGCTCTCAAGATGCCCCTGGGAAGTCAGACACATAAGCAAATAATTTAAGCATTATTGAGAGTATTTCTATGCCAAGTTGCTATGGGAACACATAGAAGAGGCACTTAACTCAGTCTGGGGAGGAGATGGTAAGGGAAGAATTCTGGAGGAAGTGGTGCTTGGAAAGTGGAAGATGATTAGGAGTTAACTTAGGAATTAGTGGAAGGAAGGGTAAGAGGGAGGTAGAAAAGGGAATTCCCCAAAGCTTCTGCAAAGGCTTAGAATGAAGGAAAAGTATAGCCAGTCTGGGGAATTGCAAGTGGTTCAATATGGCAGGAGCATTAAGTATAAGACTAGAGAACTAGACATGAACCAGTAATGAAGGGCATTTGAAGTCCTATTAAGGAGTTTGGACTTTATCTTGAGGGCCATGGGGAGGCACTGAAGGGTTTTAAATGGGGACTGACAGATCAAATTTGCATTTTACAAAGATCTCCCCAATGACAGCATAGGACCAAGTTGGAACTGGACAAATGGCCGCTGAGGTAGTTCAGATATTTTTCAAGATGGTGAGGAAGGTTAAACATAAAACTAGATGTGGGGGTGCTGATTGGATGTGGGATGTGAGGGAGAAACAGAAGCCAGAGATGACCCTGGGTTCTGGCCATGGCATCCTGCCAGCTGCCTCGCTTGCTAAGTGGTGAGACATGCAATTATCAGGTAAAATTTTGTCTTTCCCTTTCCTCTCATTATTTTATTATTGTTAAATTGTATTTGTTCTTTCACACGAGAAAATAACATTAAGTCAGCTCTTGGGGTGGTATTTTTGTAACTTTGGAAACCAATAATAGCATATAAAGATGAGGTAGGATCATAGAAAAGTTTTTAAAAGAGTACTATTAAATTTTTTTTTTTCAGGAAAAAAAAAAAAGCCTATGCCATATGCAGAAAGTTTCCAATTAGGTTAATGTATCTTAAACTGTATTAGTAATTAAGTGCTTTGGGTATTAAAATACCTAATCTAGCTTCAGGCTATTTTTGATAAATCCTTTGACATTTTCCCAACTGAGTGGGAGAGACAGAGCAGAGGAGGCCTCGCCTGGGATTACAGAGCTGTTGGCTCCATTCCCCAGCTTTTAGCAGCTTATAGTGTGACCTTGGTAAAGTTACTTTCAGTCCCCAACCTTTAGTTGTTCTATCTGTGAAATGGCAAAAATAAGAAGATGGGTACATGATCGAGCACGTAAATAAGTCCCCTTAGACAGGGTTTGAAACTTAGTAGTTTGTCTTTTGAGGGATTTTTTTTGGGGGGTAGGCGAGGGGAAGTAAGGAGAGGGTGTTAGTTTGGGTTTGTTTTTTGTTATTTATTTTACTTAGGGACATATTAGTTTTAAAGAAAAAAATATGCAATGTTTACAGTGAATATATAAATGTGTGTGTGTGTGTGTGTTTGTGTGTGTGTGTAACAGGGCAACAAGGACATCCATACAATATGCATGGAACAATTGCAACTCAACTGAGTCACCAAGGACCCAGAATCCTTCTGTCTTCCCACTTTGCTCTATTTTATTTGGCATTGCTTACAGTGGGGTAGCAGTTGCACCTCAAACAATCGTCTCCACATTGGGCAGGAAGAAAGTCAAAAGGTTGGTGCCCACTCCATTCCTCCCATTTATGAGAAAGAAAACCATTTTCCCAGAAGTAGTATCATGGCTGCATTGGAATCTTGTGAACAGAACTGGCAGATCCCAGGGAATCAGGCAATGAGAGTGGGAAAGCATCGTGGAGCTTCTTCCACCTCCACAGTGAAAGGGGGCAAGAAAGAAAGGGGCTGAGGATGGCTACTGAGTAATCGAAATGGCAGCAGCTGTCACAGCTGCTAAGCAGAGCACCTTCCAGGAGTGGGAGAGTGAGTCATTCTGGTGCACATAGAAGATCAAAAGTCAGGCTGGTGCTGAGACTTTTAAAAGACACCCACCACTTGGGTGGAAGCTTTTGAGTAATTTCTTTGGTTCAAATTTGTGAAAATCTAGCTTACCCTAGAAGGTGAACTATAGGAAAATCTGATTTTCTAGTGGGCAGAACTGACTTTCAATAAAAAGCCCATGCTTGAAGGGACAAGAGAGAAATATATATCTAAAAAAAAGTGAAAGGGGAAGTCAATTCCTAAAGAAGCTAATTTGTTTGGGAACCTTTGGACTTACCTATTATGGCGGGTGTTGATGAGAATCAGAGTCCAGGAATTATATAGCTGTGTGGTGCCCTTGAAATGGGTGCTGACCCAGCATTGGGGGACATAAGATTAAGCTGAATAAATGTTCCCAGTTCCCATGTTGGTTGGTCCCTCCAAAGTACCTGAGTCCTACAAGCATCCCTGGAGAAATCTTGCTTCTGCTTAAGACAAGGCCATAGGGAGCATACTTCTGTGTTTTCCTCCACCAAATTTGAATAAGGCCTCAATTTTCTTTTTAAGATTATCATTTGACAAGGTTTCTTGTTAATGCTTATGTGCCTCAGGCAGCCTATTAGGATATTAGGGAAAACTGCCCACCACTTTCTTGTTGTTGTTTTAACCTGAAAACAAAGTGTATAGAATTGCAGATTATATTCCTAGAGAGGGAGAATGGCTCCCAGGTCTGACCACCCACCATCCTCTCCTCCTTAGGCTCTGATTCCACAAACTGGTGAGTTTATCCTGGGCTATAAAAGGAAGACTCTCAAACTACCTTTCCTCTGTGCCTATATCATTATGTAAGCTTCTGTAGTCACCAAGACTCAAAGAGGAAAAAAAAAATCTGTTTTAAAAAGTCAGCTTCCTTAGTAAGACTGTCACTTCCTCCTTTTTTCCCATGAATTGTTTTCCTGGAGAGAAGATTGCATGTGTTTTCAAATGTCCCATCTGGCCCAGGATCCCCACTAGATTCAGCAGGGCATGGGTAGAGTATGTAACTCACACAGGGTAATGCAGGGGCACCCAGACAGAGCTTGATGAGGAAAAGCAGACTTCTTAGCCGGTGTAAGTGAACTGGCAACTCAATTTCAAGGACACATGCAAGGAGAATTACCAGGGAGGCTCCAGCTACAGAGAGAAGTCTTGTCTGTGTATTTTTGCATGCAATTGTGCCACTACTAATCTGTCTGTTTGCAGTGCAATAGTCCAGCTCCTTTACTAGATTGAGTGCATCCAGGAGAAGAGAAGCAAGCTCACACACAATTAGAACACATTTTTGAACAATGCAGAAAGTGAAATTAAGGTTAATAAGCACTGAATCTATTTTCACACCACACTGCTAGCACTTGCTTCAGTGACTCAAAACCATACAGTTCATGCTGTGGAAAACTGTCACAGAGATGCCATGATGACCCCTTTATCTATTATCAATTGTCCAAGAGTTCCATGAACCCATGGCAACATATTCAAGGTCCCTAGCATCGTGGTTGCTTACCTGTTTAAAGGGAAAAGTTTTGGTTCTATCATCCTTCAGATCCTGCAGAGATGGCTCATAACTACTCCCAGAAGCGAGGGTAGAACAGGAATTCTAAAGAGGTTTTCATTGTGAATAAAAGAGCAGTGGATACTCATCACTCCTCTTCTTCTGGTTTTCCCTGTCAGGGCTGGGGAGAGAAGCAAATAGGCAAAGGTTCAGAGTAGTCGGGAAAGCAGGGCTTTCTCGTGGAATGAGTTGATGTATTTAACTTCCGGTCCCACAGGGACATTCTAATAAGGTTACAGCGGCACACCTTGATCTCATAAGAGAACACTGTGGTCAAAGGGACTGAACCCAACAACTCTAAATATCCTCTGCTTAGAAATAGCCTTTCTGAATTTATGGGCCTAGGTAAATTGATATCCTGCTTTAGAGAGAATTTTAGATTTTTGAAATTTCCCTCAGAATATTAGGCCATGATAAGATTATCTTGGTGATTCCTGGCTCCCCACTCAACCCTTTGTCCCATAATACAGTTACAACCTAAGCTAAATGAGCCTTTGTTGACTTGAAGTATAACCTACTTAATGTGGGAAAACTTAGGACTCGTAAAAATTTCCATTTCAGTCATTGGTCAAAGTTAAAAAAGTCGGGGGAGACCATGTTTATATCTTACAGATTTTATTAGAGTGGTTCATCCTTTTTGAATGAAGAACATCATTCAGGAAGAAGATGAAATTTTCTATTTTTGGAGGCTGTCTGAACTATGCTCAACTACAGGGACTATTTCATCCCTGTGGCCCTACTCAGGGGTCCCTGTGTCTTTGGGCCTAATGAAAGCCAACTTATTTCTGATTTCTCTGCTGTCAGCATGCCCAGATGGGTGATTTGTCCAGCGCCTGGGGTTTAGGGCAGTAGGCATTAGCCTTGGGGTGAAGAGTTGTTTGGAAAAACTTCCTTCAGGGAAGAACATGAAAATCCTCTCTATTTAGGGGCAGTTCACAGGCTGGTTTTCCTGGTAGCCATAGCTCCCTCTGCTGCCCAGCTAGGTGCAAGAGAGGCCAAAGGAATCAGAAATGAGACAAAGCAGAGCCTACCTGGAGTCTAGTCAGCCCCAGGAGCCAGCAGTAATTGGAGGCAATTAGCTCTAGAGTCTAGGGCCTTAAGCATGCCCAGTGTGATGAATGATTCAGGCAGGCAGTATTAGGTCTTGGAGGGTGGGGGTAGAACAAGCAAGGGGATTGAATTTTTAAAATGGCACCACGAAACCGTTGGTTAAAATCAAATATACAAACAAAAGAAAATCTCAGGTTCACGCATGAATGTGATTAACCAGCAAGTTCTGTTCCTGGGCTTTCTCCTAGATGATATTGCTCTATTTGTCTTCTAATATCGCTGCCACCAGCTGTTACCTGGGGGCAAATGATATAATCTCTGCCTCATTTTCCTGATCTTCAAGTGGCATTATTATGGAAAATGCATACACTTATCACAATGCCAGGTACTCATATAGAAGCAGCCAACACATGTTAGCTATTGTTTTTAGTCTAGTTAATATTAGTGTTCTTTAAGCTCTCAAACATGGCTGTACGTTGAAATGATCCAGAGAAATTTTTAAAAATATCGATTTCTGGGTCCTGTTCATTGAGATTCTGATTTGATGGACCTAAGGCGTGGCCTGGGAGTTTCTAAAGATGTCAGAGAATTATAGAATTCAGACAAGTTTAGGGCTCCTCACGATCCTTCCTCAGAGATGTCTCCCAAGGGGCTGAGGTATACCAAATAGAGGAAGGGGGGCGCCTTCTGCAGTGTTGAACTATAGTGTTTATATATAGCTATATGTGGCACAGGGAAACACTTTATGTGAAAGCATGGACCTGGGACCACCAGCATCTGATTGCCTAGGAGTATTTTAGAATTTCATTTTCGACCCCAGATCTGCTGGATTGTAGTCTTCATTTAAGCAAGTCCCTCAGTAGTCAGTGTGCATATTCAAGTTTGAGAAGCTCCCTCCTTTCTTCCTCCTCCTTCTTGATTTGGCTTCTTTTATTTACCATAGATAGCATTGAATGCTTCTAACAAGGAAATATCCTTGCAAAAAAAGGCTCCAGGTCTTTATTTCAATAATCTCTTCAGATTCAAATCTCCTTAATTTTTTTTCCCCACTGCCAGACTTAGTTTGAGTTTCTAATACCTGTCTCAACTCACAAGTGCCCACTTCATGTTTGCTGATAGTTGTACACTAGGCCTCTTATGTAGCTTCTAAAAATATTCTTTTTTAAGACCAGTGCGAATGCCCTGCTCAGGCCATCTCTGGTACATTGGTAGGAGTGGGTTGACATTTGACAGAGGATTTTTGGTACATCACAGCTGTGAGAAGAAATTTAGAGGGTGATTAGTATTTGCTAAAGGCTCAGAAAGGAAATAAAATCCTCCATCAGAACCTAGTCATTAGGGTTAACAGTAAACCATAAAATGAATGGAATGTTGGCCCTGTGGACAGGTTCCCAAAAAAGACAATGCAAATGTTTTTAAATAAAATGTGGGGAGACAGGACAAGGCTTTGAAAGAAAGGGAGAGGAATAGAGTGAATGATTTAGTAGATGGAATAAATCTCAGCAGGAATTTAGTTTCTATGATATTAACATAATTCTATGGACTATGACATTAGCTCCTTCTCTCTCTCTCTCTCTCTCTCTCTCTCTCTCTCTCTCTCTCTCTCTCTCTCTCTCGTCCATCCCATTACCAAAAATATTTTAAACATGAGTTTAAAAAGATTCATATTGAGATAGAAATAATACAAGAATCACTATTGCTGTCTTCACATTTTTCCCCTTATTTTCTTTCTAGAAGCACAATGTCCTCTTTATGATGCTTTTATGTCTATAAACGATTTAGGAGAAGACTCTGAAACCAAATCTGTAAATGTGCAAGGCTCCTGGATTGATGGGGAGGGGTAGGGTGAGAGGGAGACACAAATTGCAAAGAGCAGAATAATCAGATACAGAGGGACTTTGATCTTCTGGAGACCTAAGCTAATAGATGTTAAGTGCAGTTCAGTGGAAGTAATAACCCATGAAGAAAACAAAATCTGCAAAATGATAAAATGCTGCAGTCTACTGATCAAGGAAGACACTGGAAAATTACTATGAAAGCATCCTTAGCCCAGCAGATCCAAGGTGGGGAAAGGGCTGCGTCTGCCAACCAGCAGCCAGACATTCCAGGCAGACTCAGCCGTCTCCCATTTTGTGGCCAGATTAACACTCTGTGTAACCTGAATGCTTTCTCACTGAAAAGTTATGAACTGGCACCATCATCGTCCTGGGCTTCATGTCTCCCAGTGACGTCACAGTGAATCACCCCGAGGCTGGCCGGTAAATTTGTGGGGGAATTTCAGAGGACACTATTTCTGTTAATCAATTAGTGCAAGAATTTCTGAAAAGACTCCAAATGAAGTGCGGGTCTTTTTTTTTTTTTTTCCCTGACGTCATTGCACTATAGTTAAGACATCATTCAAGAAATTAAAATCTTACCAAGCAAATGAGAATTGATGGACATTTGAATGCAATTGAAAAATCTAGAACCTTTATAAAAGGGAAGTCCCTAACACTAATTTATTGAAGTACTATTTTATTATGTGTATCCACTTATTGAGCAATGACTACATTATACACACTATATAAGGTAGAGCAGAATTAAATTGATCTGTCTTTAGAACCAATTAAATTATTATCAAAAGGAAACCTAAAATTCGAAACAGACAAATTCAGTCTGAATAGACTCTTTATTGTAAAAAAGATTAAACAACCAAAGACCAACCAGAAAATGTGTAAAGATGGTGAACATCTTTACATCTCCCAGGAAACTGGGAGAAAAGTAGATTGCATTTTTAAAAGCTCCACCTTTTTTACATTTCATGCAATGGCTAATTAAACACATGGAATATGTTATCTGAGCCACAAATTAATGTGTTTGCATAGGGTGGCCGCAAACAAATGAAAATAAAGAAAAGCTATGCTAGCATATTCCAGGAAAGATGTGGGCAAACTCTGCTGGGCCAGCATTTGGTTCACGTTTGAACAGCATACATTAGAATACTTAAAAGCTACGTCTTGCTTAGAGGATTCTCTTTCTCAAGAGAAAAATTGACAAATTTTAATAATACAGACTAATATTGTAAAAGAAAGAATTAAAAAGAAAGGAAAAGAAAAGGAAGTTAATCACTGATTGATTCCAACACATTTCAACTCTGGACAATTTCCTGATGCTAAAGATGGTGAACATCTACATGAACCTATATTCACCATTGTGCTGGCTTTCAGTGAACCTATTCACAGAAAGACTGGTCCCATAAAGTGAGTTCTACCTGTGGGGAAAACTGAGACTGGGCCTACACAATACTAAGGGGATTCCATGGAAAATTAAAACTTGGGGCTCTCCAACACTTGCTGGAAAAAGATATTTGTATAAAATATATATTTATTTTTTAAACAAGTAGAATCCTTGTCTGAAAGTCCTGTGGGTCCAGGCTTGGCTCCCAGTGTAGACTGAGTGGTTAAGATGAGAACTCCCAGCTCTGAGTTAGCAGTCCATTACTCAGCCGCTGTCCCACTGCTTGCCATCAACAGCTCTCCTTATCTATTATATGCATATAACACAATTTAGACTAAGCATGCTGAGTGGATTAACTAATGATTGCAAACCACTTTGGAAATAGAAAATACCCCATACGTGCACGGACTTAATAACGATTAGATAATAGACTGTCCTAAATTTTACTTTTAACTCAAATAAACCTTTTCTTGATGATGAAAGTTATGCTATTAAACAAAAGATTTTTTTTATTTTAAATTTTAACCAGAGGTTTTCAAGGTGTTTTCCTTTGAGTTGAATTTCTGTTCTTCAGACCCATATTTCTGCCAATTTCTATCTCTTGTGCTTTCTCTGGCACAACCGAAAGAACAAAGTTAATAACAGAGAAAGGACAAGCTTTAAAAAGTGCTGCATTTATCGTCAGTTGTAATTCTGCTATTAAATGGTCTTGGCATTTGGGAAATTCTTCTCAATCTTACTTTTTTACTTAGAGGAAAGAAAAAAAAATGAAAACATGGAACTGAAACCAAAAATAATCCCTTCTCCATCTTCTATGTTCTCAGACTCTTCCTCTTTGTATTCAGTGTGTGACCT